GGGCCAAGCACTGGGGTGACAGATTGGAGGGGTCTCTGAAGACATGGTGACACACAATAAACTGAGAGCAGTGATGAGTGACAAGCCATAGGCATTGTGGCAGAGTAACAGGCTAGTGCCCCTGCTTTCAGGCTGGGCTCCACCAATGAAGATGCTGATAACCACATTACAGGCCATTTGCTGAGCTTGCACTCTTGACTGGGCATTGCGCATGTCGCGTTTATTGTCTGATTAAATAAAGTCTGTAGGCCTCAGAAGTAGCTTCTTTTGTTATTCCTGCCTTACAGATGTGAAAACTGGGCCTTAGAGTGAGGTGAATGATCTTGTCCAAAGTCAGCCACCAGTAAAATGGTGGAGTTGAATCTTGAACCTGCATCCCTCGGACCCCGCAGCTGTTGTTTATTCTGAGCAGCAGCTTCCAGCACATCAGGTGATGGTAGCTCCCATTTTTAGGGTACTGGCCAAGCACTTTAACTGTTTCCTGCATTCTTCCTGCAAGGGGCCCCTACAAGGTAGACAGAAGCCAGCTGTTTGTTCTGATTCGGTTGCTAAAGGCTAGTCCAGCTCTGTTGCTCCTGGAGGTCACTAGACCTAGTAAACTGCAGGGGTGTGGTGGGGCGTGGAGGGAAATAGCTTGATCAGGTGGGGAGGGGCAGCTTGAGGGGTCTCGAAACCAGGACAGAGAAGTTTTGACTTGATGGGCTTGGTAGCTAGGAGCAATTTAATTTCTTGAGCAAGAGAGTGAAAGAGGTGCTGTGGGGAGAGAGGTCTGGTTGGGGTGTGGTGGGGGCGGAAAAGGGGGCTGGCTGGGAGGCCCCACACTGATTTGCTCAGCTCACTTATTCAGGCAATTCATATTTATTGAGCATCTGGTCTGTGCCAGGCAGTGCTCTAGGTACTGGAGAGACAACAGTGACTGAGACAGGCAAAGCCTGCACCTCCTGGAGCAGACGTTTCAGTCCGAAGTGGTGACTATGTAAAGGAGCACCACGGGGGTCTGGAGGGCCATGCAGAGAGGAGCCCCCCGCAGCCAGCCCTGCTGGGGCAATGGGGGAGGCACCGAGCTCTCCAACTATGTCCCTGCTCCTCTGGCTGCCCCAGCTGGGGGCTCTGTCTAGATCTGTCTCGGGAGCTGGAAATCCCCGGTGAGCAGGCCACCAAGCAGGGAGAGTAAGATGGTATGTGGCTGGAGTCTTGAGAGACAAAGATGGCTAATGGGAAGGAACTGCGAATGCTGAGAGAGGGAGAGGCCATGGGCTGGTTTGCAGGTGAAGCCCCGGCGTTTAACTTGGTTAGATTGTTAGGGGGGTCCCAGTTAGGCTCATTCTGGCAACTAGGTCAGGGAGACTTCTTGAGAGTAGTTGACGCCATAGGTGGTACTTGCCGGGGTGTGTTGAGCTCATAGCTGTGCCGGCCCTGTGCCATGCATTGCCTCACCTGACATCCAGAGCTCCAGTTATCTCCAAAAGCATGTACCGCATGACAGGCACTTCCCTTTAAACTGGTTATCCCTAGCATCCTTGTGACAGCTCTCTGTGGCTGGTACACTCTTGTCATCATCCCCATTTTACAGATGAGGAAACTTAAGCATAGTCTTATGTCACAGTTTACAGCTGGTCTGACATCGTCATCTGTGCTTTTGATGCTGTCATTGATTTTAGTTTATTTACTTATTGAGACAGAGTCTCACTCTGTTGCCCAGGCTAGAGTGAGTGCCATGGCGTCAACCTAGCTCACAGCAACCTCAAACTCCTGGGCTCAAGCAATCCTCCTGCCTCAGCTTCCTGAGTAGCTGGGACTACAGGCATGCACCACCATGCCCGGCTTATTTTTTCTATATATTTTTAGTTGGCCAATTAATTTCTTTCATTTTTAGTAGAGACTAAACCTTGGACTCCTCAGCCCCCATAACTGTGATAAATAAATTCCTTTTCTTTACAAATTATCCAGTTTTGGGTATTCTGTTATAAGCAACAGAAAATGGACTAAGACATTTGCTTAGCAAAGGGCTGAGCTGGAACCTGGACCTTGAGCTTGGGGATTTGGTCCATCACTAGGTGGCTGATCTGTGAGTGGCAATTCTGTGGGTGTGAGGGCCTTTTAACCACTGCTAGGTTTGATTGAGACCCAGGTGGCTGACCTACTGCTTGGGACCTGGTCATTTCCTGGGGGCTTAAGTCCATTGGAAAGCCCGTTGACCTTAAGTATTCTTTGAAAACATGATGAACAAAAAGGTCCCTCTTCCTTATCATTGGACTGGAAGTGCTGGGGGCAATGGGATGAAAGGTGAAGCAGCAGTGGGTGCGAGGTAATGAAAGAAAGTGGTGACAGGCCTTAAGTTTCCAGGTGCTACTGCAGGCTATGTGTGACCTCATGGTTCCTTGGAGACGTCTTGGTAAGTCCCCTGCCCATCTCTCTGGACCTGGGGAGCAGGACTGTATCTGTGGTTGATGATATCTGCAAAGTTCAGGGTTTTCTCCTCTCAGTGTAATTTTAATGTTTTTGGGAAGGTGGAACAGCCAGATGGGTGTGTAATCCACCCCCATCCTCTAGCCAAACCCAGGAAACGTACCCCTCTGACTCAGGAATCATAATTTTGAATTTTTAGGCTGACAGCATCAAGTACAGTGGACCAGGGAACTGTGCAAAAAACTGTGAATTCAGATAACACATGATTGGCAGTTGCCCCCAGCCTCAGAAGCCCTGGCTGGCCGTGGAGGCCTGACAGTGACCATCCTGCGATCTCTACATTTTACACTTTTCAGCTTTTTGTGTCTCATTTATATATCACCAGACTGATCTCCCCGTGGAGACTCTAAATTCCTGTTTTCAATAGCAAGGCATCTTTTTCCCAGCACCCCTGCTATTAAAATGATAGCTCATTCTTCTCTGATTGTGTCTTTCCCTGACCACAACGGTGACACGTCCTGTCACTTGTTTATTGATGAATTTGCTGTGCTGCAGGGGTTCTCACCTGGCAGCAATTTTGCCCCCTGCCCCCTGGGGACATTTGGCCATGTCTGGAGACCTTTTTGGTTGTTAGAACTGGGCTGGCATGGAGTGAGTAGAGACCAGGGGTGCTGCTAAACATGCCACGATGCACAGGACAGCCCCCACAGCAAGGAACGATCAGGTCTAGAGTGTCACTAGTGCCAACGTTGAGAAATCCTGCTCCACTCTGCATTACTGGTAAGATTTTTTTGCCTAAAAAAATCAATTTAAGATGCTCTCGATTTATGATTAGGCATTAGCCTTTTATCTCTCATCTGCATTGCAACTATTTCCCCGAAACCTATCCTCTTTTAGTTTTGTTTATGGTATCTTTTGCCACACGCACAAAAAATTAGTGTAGTCAAATGTGTCTTTCATTTTGATTATAGCCTCTGAGTTTCCTGTCGTGTTTGAGGTGTTTCCTACCCTTGTTAATGCATATCATTTTCTATTTCTACTGCTATTAAGACTTACATTGTTCTATTCTCTAATAGAACATTTACTGGAACCCATAATGTAGGGGGGGGGTGGTATTTAATCTACCTGGAAGTGATTTTTGTGAATGGTGGGAGGTGAAGGTCAAAATATATTTTTTTCCAGGTGGAGAGCCACTTGTGTTTTTATCATATCTTGGCACTGCATTAAAATCCCACCTCTGTCCTGTATTAGCTGTGCTCATACACACTCAGTTGCACACTCACTTATTCCTGGGCTCCGTCTTCTTTTCCAGGCACTGCCTCCTTCCCTCCGACCTGTTTTCCACTCAGGCCTGAGCTTAAGACCAGTAGATCTTACTTACATGGCACAAAGGCCACTTCTCACCTGTGTTCTTTTTTCCCCTATAAATAATTTTTTGGGACAATTTCAGACATTTATTCTTCCCTCTTATTCATTCTTAGGTGCCTACATAGAAGTAAGGGAAACCTCTCCTAACTCCCAGACTGGGCTTCAGGTTTCCCTTTGTGCTCTGACTAGGACTGTCATTAGACACTGGTTGTGGGGTCCCTCCCTCCTGCCACACTCGCCCCATGCCCTGTCCTGGCACTGACATAGTGCCTGGCACGTGGCTGGTGCTCACTAGGTATTGGCTGAGTGAATGAACAAGTGAATGATGCAGATCTTTCTTTAAAAAACATTAATTTTATTTCTTGTGTTGTTTCGAGTATAGGGCAGCCAGCGGTTGTTTTAGTCTTTGTCACTGCTGAGGTGTGGCCTTGGCTAGTTGCTTCTCTCCTCTGCCTCAGCTTTCTTAATTGGAAAACTGAACCTGGTGAGCTCTGAGTCTTTTTACCGATGCACTCATAAAATTTAATTTTAAATATTTTTTTAATTCAAGAAGGTGCCCACAAAGGCAAATGTGCCAAGGCTCCGTGAAAGTCATAATGTGGCCCCGTTAAACACAACCCAAATCGGTGACGTAAATAACTGGCATTAGGAGCATAGCAGCCCCAGGCAGAGTGGAGCCGTGGGGAGAATAAAACAGCCACTTGTCCAGGGATTGCCAGAAATAAGGACGCACAGGCTAAAGATGGGTGTGGGAGACTGCCTGTCCTCTGGGATGTTCCAGAGGACACCCAGCTCTGAGTTGGCACCATGGAGCAGAAAAGAACAACAGCCAGAGAGACCTGGATTCCAGGCCTGGCTGTACCTCCTGCTGCCTGCGTGACTGCGGGCTAATCACTTAGCCTCTGGGAGCCTCACTCCTCATCTGGGAAACAGTAACAATGACACCCCAGTCATAGGACAGTCACCCAACACGTGTGTATTAAACACCTGCTGTATTCCACACACTCTTCTGGGTGCTGAATATACACGACAGTGCACCCCAGCACACCCAGACCAGTGCCTGGCACATAGTAGCCCCTAATTAAACATTTGTTGAATGAATGATTGGAAAACAGGTCAGAGGGAGGGAGTACCAACAATAAGTAAGTGAATACATGTTATGTGTGTGTGTACATATAATGATAAACATGAACATATATCAAATGTGAACTGTCATTACAAAGACAATAAGGTACCAGGACTGAAAACGACAGGACACAGTGACAGAAGATGCTGGGGCTTGGGGAGAAGGGCAAGAGCATCTGCTCAGACGGAGCTTTCAGGGCAAGCAGGGCCTGACGCAGGACTGATGACATGGATGGGCAGAGGTCCGGCGTTCCCCCCGCCCACGTCCTTGCGGGTTGCAGGCATCCAGCCGGCGCTCTGGAGCAGGGAGGACGTGCTGCACTGGCTGCGCTGGGCGGAGCAGGAGTACTCTCTGCAGCGCGCCCGCGAGCACCGGTTCCAGATGAACGGCCGCGCCCTCTGCATCCTCACCAAGGACGACTTCCGGCACCGCGCCCCGGGTTCAGGTCAGGGAAGCTCACTGGCCCTCCCCGAAACGTTCTGATGGGAGCCCTGGGGGGCCACAGGGACCATGGGAGGGAGGTCGAGGGGGTCTTCCTTAGGGCATCGTGCTCACACCCCTGCACTGCAGATGCCCCTCTGTCCTTAAATGTCTGCCTGGTGGCTCCAGCAGAGCCGGCCTTGATGAAGCGGCCAGTTCGGCTGCTTGTGCAGAGCCGTAGGGGCCTGTCCTCTCTCTCCATCTCCCCACGCCTTGCCTGCGCCTTCGTCTCCTCTTCCATTGCCACCCTCCCACCCCCCACCCCTCCACATCTATCAATGTTAAAACAACAGCCACCACCACCACCAGGGAAAGATCCAAAATTCATGCACACTGAGGTATCAATGACTGATGACAGCAAAAGTCTTCACCCCCAACCTGAGTTTTTAACTGGAAACTAGGTCTGGTCTGAGGTCAAGGGAACGAATGTCCCGTGATGGTGTTTCCGCAGCACAGAGTTTGGCCGGGGAGAGCGGGTGGGTGGGGGCAGCACAGCCCTTCGGAGTCCCTGGAGTCACTTCCCATGCTCGGCACCTGTTTTCAGGAGGTGCTTCGTGTTTGTGCTGGTTTGGTATCTTTTTCTTAAAAATACACTCATGTTTTCTGTGTAGCCCATCTTTTGGCCAAGCAAGCCCATGGCGTTTGTGGCAAAGAGATTTCCTTAAAATTCTGGTTCATTCTTTTTCTCCTGCCAAGCCCAGCCAGTCCATGTCACATCCCAAGTCCTGGCACCCACTTTCCCCTATGAGCCTCTGCCAGTGGTGTTGGGACTTCAGTCCCTTTAGTCCTTGGATTTAAGAGCTCCAGGGCGTGGTGGGGGTGGGCAGGGACACACAGGCAAGGCTTCAGGCTTCCCGCACAGCCGTGACACCTGCACAGAGGTGACGCTGGGGGTCTGGTCCCCATCACACCTGTGTCTGTCTTTCCTGCTCCCCACAAGCACCTCTGGTCCTCCAGTGCCCACGACCTACACCTTACCCCGCTGGCTGCCCAGGATCCCCAGGATGGCTCTCTGCCCAGGGATCCCCCCTCTGTCCTGCCCTACCATTAGCACCTCAGCCCGAAGGTGCGACCATGGACAGGGCCTGATCCTGCCTTGTAGGAAGAGGCTAGGACTGTTTTGCTCCTTAGAAAGCAAGGGCAGCCTTTTCATAAAGCTTGGGAATCCCACGAGTCTTAAAATACTGTCACTGCCCCCAGGGACATGAGGCACAGTTGTACAGTTTGTGCACTGACTGCACACAGGCCCTCAGCCGGGGGTGAGTGGGGCTGCCTCTGCAAGCTGTGCCCTGGAGGCGGCTGCAGTGGCCGGAAGGGATGGCTTTCTAAAATGCTTCCACCAGGGGGCGACACGGGCCCGGCCCATCTGCACCCCAGCCTCCTGCAGCTGTGGCAGGAGCCCGACCTCCACTGCACAGGCTGGTGCAGACCCTCACCCTGAGGTGACCCGACCTCCACGGCACAGGCTGGTGCAGACCCTCACCCTGAGGTGACCGCAGGGGAAGGAGGCTAGCCGTCCACTCCTGGCCTGCTCAGCGGCCTGCCCTCCCCTCCGCCCACCCCAGGGGACGTCCTGTATGAGCTGCTCCAGCACATCCAGACCCAGCGGCGAGCCCTGGTGTGTGGGCCCTTTTTTGGAGGGGCCTTCAGGCAGGAGATGCTCACCCCGCACCCCTCCAGCGCCCCGGAAGTGGAAGGTGAGGAAGCTCTTCGTGGAGCTCTGAGCCCCTCGAGTGGCCTCGCTGGGCGGGCAGGGCCTCCTCCAGGTGAAGCAGGGGCAGAGAGCAGGTGTGGGCTGAGCTGCTCCGCGCCCTCCCCGCCCTGCCTGAGCCCTCCCCTCCGGCCTGGCCACTCCTGGCAGCCTGTCTGCCGCAGCCTCCCAGTCGCCTCTCCCCGCTGCCCTGCGGTCCTCTCCTGCAAAGCGTTGTCCCTATCACGTCTGTTTCCTCTCCTGATCTCTCCATGGAAACCGTTCTTGTCAGGGTCTCCAGGGACCTGAAAATAGGGAGGTCCATGTTCACATCAGTCCTTATTCACGGTGACCTCTCACAGCCTGTGACCCAGTGGGTCACCCCCCAGCCCCAAACTCTTTCTCCTCTTGGCTTCCAGGACACCCCGCTAACCTGGGTCTCCTCTAACCCCCTGGTCTTTGCTTCTCCATCTCCTTTTCTGGTTTCTCCTCATCTCCCCACTTCTAAATGCCGAGGTACCCCAGGGTCAAGGGGCCTCTCGCATTCTTTATCTGCACTCAGACCCTGAGTAATCTCATCTTGTCCTGGGAGTTAGACACCATGAGGTGCCAATGATTCCCATATATGCCTCGACTTGCAGATTCCAGACATGCACCCCACGCTGCCTGCCTCACCCCTCCACTGCGATGGCCCCAACAGCCCTAACCCACGCGCCCCCTCCTCTCCCAGGCTCCCCATCCCAGCAAACCTCGGCTCCCTCCTTCCAATTGCTCAACCGAGACACTAGACATCATCTTTGATTCCTCTTTTTCTCCCCACCCTCATCCCAGCTGTCCACAAACCCTGACAGCTCTATCTTCAAATTCATCCAGAAACCAGCGGCTTCCAGTATTCCACTGAGGCCCTGGTCCAGCCCCCATCACCCCCACAGAACCTCCTCACTGGTCTGCTCACCTCTGCTCTTGACCTCCTGCGGTCTGTTCTCAGCACAGTGGCCAGGTCAAGTCAGTCCTCTGCTCAGAGTCCTCCAGTGGCTCTCTTCTCACTCGGAGCCAGGGCCACAGTCCTTACAATGACATCCTGCCTCCCCCCTCCCCCCTTGCTCATGCAGCGAGGCCTCCTTGTTCATTGAACAAGCCTGAGGTAACTCCTGCCTCAGGGCCTTTGCACTTGCCATTCCCTCTGCCTAGCATTCTCCCCTCTGCTCTAGACACCCACGTAGCTCACGCCTCTGCCTCCTGCAGGTCTCTGTTCAAATGTGACCATGGCAGTGAGGCCTGACAGACCTCTCTAAAATTGCAGCCCTGCCCCTTTCCATGATCTTTCTATCTGCCTTATGGCGCTGTATTTTTTCCTCCCAATATTATATACTGTTTCTATTTCCTTTTTTATGTTAATCGTCTACCCACCCACTAGAATGTAAGTTCCCCAAGGGCAGGGGTCTTTTTGGGTTCAGTGATGTGTCCTCAAGATTCTTAGAACAATGCTTGATTCATAGAAGTTTCTCAATAAATATGTATGGGGCAAACACAGGGGACACTGGATACAGGGCACTGGGTCCCAGACCCAGCTCTGTCACCTGCTGGCTTTGCAGCCAGTTGCACAGATGAGGAAACAGGGTTGGGAGGTTTAGCCGCTTGTGTAGGGGCCGCAGTTAGCACCTGGCTCTGGCCTCACGCCCTGCCCTCCTGTCCCTCCCTGACCTCTAACCAGGGCAGGTGGAGGCAGAGCATTAGGGGTGCTGCCCCACGGGGCTCCCAGGCTTGTCATCAAGGGGGCGGGGTGGGGGAGGCTTGGGGCCCACAGAATCAACGTGCTCATCCTCCTGCAGAGGGGGCTGGGCCCTTTTGGGCGGCCCACCACAGGGGCCTCCTGCAGCGGCCACCGGACTCAGGGCTGGCCAGCTCCGTCAGCCACCTGGACACCCCCGGCCCGACCAGCCTGCCCCTCGGCAGGGGGGAGTCCCTCAGCTTACCTCACTGCGCGGAGCTCAGCTGCAGGACCAACGGGGTCTGCTCCTTCCCCACCGTGCCACAGGCCCCCACGGACGGCAGGATCGCCAGTGAGTAGGAGGCTGTTTCTGCGGGAGGGGGCAGGTGTGGTGAGGCCAAGCCCCAGAGGGGTCGTGGTGGTAAGGACCAGGGTCGTTTTGCCTGGATGATAGGGGGTTTGTACTGGGGGGACTGGGGTGAGCGGGCTGCCCATTTCACGGATAAGGAAACCAAGGCGCAGAGAGGTTAAGTAACTTCCCCAAGATCACTCAGCACTGGTGGAGTTGGGATGTGAACGCAGGCAGTCTGGCTCCAGAGCCTGAGCTCTAACCAAATAATACACTTCCACTTTGCATTCATTGTTAAAGGATTGATTAACAGACGGACAATCAGACAGACTGACAAATCAGCTGCCCAACTTTCTGCAGTATGTTTTCTACCACAGAGGGGGCAGGAGCCTGGCATCTGGGTTGGAAATTACTGGCAATCACTAAAAACACAATTATTGGCCCAACACATAAAAATAACAAATACTTGAAGTGATGGATACCCTAAAAACCCTGACTTGGTCGGGGCTTTTACATTCTGTGCATGTACACACATTCTGTGCATGTAACCAAATGTCACATATACCATATAAATATGTACAAGTATTATGTACAATTAAAAAACACAGGCCGGGCGCGGTGGCTCACGCCTGTAATCCTAGCACTCTGGGAGGCCGAGGCGGGCGGATTGTTCGAGGTCAGGAGTTCGAAACCAGCCTGAGCAAGAGCGAGACCCCGTCTCTACTATAAATAGAAAGAAATTAATTGGCCAACTAATATATATACAAAAAATTAGCCGGGCATGGTGGCGAATGCCTGTAGGCCCAGCTACTTGGGAGGCTGAGGCAGGAGGATCGCTTGAGCCCAGGAGTTTGAGGTTGCTGTGAGCTAGGCTGACGCCACGGCACTCACTCTAGCCTGGGCAACAAAGCGAGACTCTGTCTCAAAAAAAAAAAAAAAAAAAAAACACAATTATTGGATGTGTTTAATTGTAATGCTGACGTTCTTGGAGCACTTACTGTATACCAGGCACTGTACTAGGGTTTTGGTCTACTGTGTTCTAATCCTTGCACCACCCCGTGCGAGGAAACTGTGGCTCAGAGGAGGCTTGGGTGACGTTCCTGGAAGGGCCCCGCTGGCAGGCCCAAGCACTGGGAGTTAAGATCACAGTTGCTCCCGCATCCCGGTGCCACCTGCCCTGCATAAAGGCAAGTTCGCTGTTCCTGAGCCTCCCCTTTGGGGTTTGGGAGGATGGGTGTTACGGTGATCAGACGTCAGGGGGCTGAGCGACTGGGCAGGGGCAGAGAGGGACCTGAAGTTCGAGGCGTGGCCACCGACCCGTGGGCCCTGCCTGCTCTGTCACGAAGGAGCTGGCTTTGCTGGGCTCGACTCCCCGCCTGCCTGACACTTAGGGGCTCGGCCCCTTCAGACACGTCCAGACCTCTCCGAGCCCATTTCCTCACCTCTTCCTGGGGATAAAGGTAGCCACTTCCTAGAGTTGTGTGGACTGAAGGAGACCCCATAACTGGCTATTTCTGTTAATACCGTCATCTGCACCACCCTGCTGGCACTCCCAGGGCCCTGCCCTCAAGGTACTGAGCACACCTTTCTAACACCTGTCCTCATAGCTCCAATAAGGCTGCTGCACCCCTGTGCTAAATTGCAGACTGCCGGCTACTGTGGGATTATGTGTATCAGCTGCTCCTGGACACCAGGTATGAGCCCTACATCAGATGGGAAGACAAGGATGCCAAGATCTTTCGAGTTGTGGATCCAAATGGGCTCGCCAGACTCTGGGGAAACCACAAGGTGAACCTCAGCCAGCAGGCAAAATAATGGCCTCAACATTTCCAAAAGAGAATAGAGCAGGGGGTCAGAGTGGACCCCTCAGCACCAGGAGACAGTCCTCAACTGACGGGGCCTTCGCCAGTAGCCTCAGAAATGCCGGGATCATTTTATTTTGGGAGATACTCCTTGACAGGCAGTTATCTCTTATGGGTGGGGAATGTCCCTGAAACTCAATCATTGTGCCTTCGGATTGCTTAAGCTTACCTTTGCATGTTCCCGAGCATGCTGTGGGTGGTTGGGACAGAGACCCAGGTCTCAGGCCCCACGGGAGCATCAGATGTCATGGCCGGAAAGGCCTGGGAATGACTGAGGCCCATCCCATGATGGGGAATGACTACGCCTAGACGGGTGTCTGCCAGGTGATCTTAGGTGGTTGACCCCAAATTCTCATAATGAAATGTTTATTTTCAAACTAGGATTTTAAAATGTTACTACTATTCCTATCTCATGATTTATAGTAGTAATGTAAAGAATGTGTCCTTTTTTTTATTTCGAGAATGTGTCCTTTTTAAAATATAAAGAAGTTTAACTAAAAAAAAATGGATCTTTTAAAGAAAACTATTAGGAATAATGGCAATCAGCAATTTATAGCATTTCCTAAAATGCAGTCGTGTCTGATTGCCGGGCACGGCTCTGAGGGCTTTACCTGTATTAAGTCATTTAATCCTCCCAGCAACCTTGTGAGGTAGGTGTTATTGGATGTAGAAACTGAGGCACAGTGAGGGTTAACAACTTGACCTAGAGTTTACTTCCCCTCCCCCCATCCCTGCAGGGGACTTGACCTCAGGCTGCGTGGCCGTGCTCCAGCTCGTATTATGTTGCTCTTAGCAGGGCTGGTGGCTGAAAGGATGGAAACAACTGAAGTTTGGGGTTACTTATCTGGCCCAACCCCCATATCACACAGGGAGGGAGATGCCTAGAGGGCAGCAATTCCATTTAGTGAGCACATAGGACATGCCGAGCACTGTGCTAAGTGGCTTCACAGTGGCTTCGTGGATTAGCTAATTCAATCCTCACAGGAAACATGAGAGACAGATGCTCTTCTTCTCCTCATATAGCCGGGAAAACAGCCTCAGCGAGGTGAGGAAACTTGGCCAAGGCCACACAGCTGCCCACTGGTGGAGCTGGCGCTTAATGCCGAACGCCAGGCTCTTTGCTCTGACTGTGCACGGCCTACACTCCACAGACAGGAAAAAGACCTGGCCAAAGTCACACAGCTGGTGGCGCGGCCATCCGTGCCACCCCACTTTGCTATCTCTCTGACTGCATTCCCCACAAATGGATACACTTGTCACTGCTTGTGACATTTGCTATTTAAACATGACATACAGTTCACTCCCACCCCAGTCTCAGCTGGGTAGGTGAGAAAACATCGCGTTATTTCTTCCCCAACCTTCCCCTGACTTTCCCCTTCCAAACTCTAGCAAGCTCTTATAAACCTCACAGAACCCTGGGCAGAGGGGCGCAAGAAGCCACCCGGTCCAGCTGCTCCCTTCCAGATGCAGAAAACGAGGCCTGGAAGAAGCAGGGTGTGGAGTGGGGGCTGACTTGGGGTGCTTTGCGTTCCAGAACCGGGTGAACATGACCTACGAGAAGATGTCCCGTGCCCTGCGCCACTATTATAAGCTGAACATCATTAAGAAGGAGCCGGGGCAGAAACTCCTGTTCAGGTGAGCAGCCTAGGGGTTGAGGTGAAAAGGGGAAGCAGGGCTGGGGGTGGGTGGGCTGGGGCAGGGGCTGATTTGCAATTGCGATCTGAATTTCAGATTTCTAAAGACTCCGGGCAGGATGGTCCAGGACAAGGACAGCTGCTTGGAACAGCTGGAGAGCCAGGAATTCAAGGAGATGCCAGAAGTCTCTCTGTGAAGGGCAGGAAGACACCCGGCACCAGTGGGACAGAGACTGTCCCATGAAGACAGCCTCCTTCCTCCTCCCAGGGCAGCAGGGGTCCCCTGCCGGGCTTTGTGCCCATGGGGTCGCAGCCATTGTCTTGGGCCTCAGAGCTGCCTGGGGACCTGGAGGGCTGGGAGGCCTCACGTCCAGGGCGGTGGAGGTGGGGTCATCCTTTGGGTAGGATGCCTACCCCTAGGGACCTGCCCACCTCCGAGAGGAAGCCAGGCGTGGTTGGGGCATCCAGCCCAACGCCTTCAGTCTGCAGAAGGGAGTGGAGGTCCCTCACTGGGCCCCAGATTTCCTCGTCTGTAAAAGGCCTCATCATAGCCCACCCTCGGGCCGCTGCGCGCAGCGGGAGAAAGAGCCAGTGCTTCGCCGGCCTTTGGAACAATAACAGCCTTGGTCGCCAGTGTTTCTCGAGTGCTCACTGCGTGCTAGGCCTTGTGCTAAGGGCCTTGCACATGTTTTCTCTCACTTAACTCACACACCAACCGCCTGAGGTTTAAAGATGAGGAAACTGAGGCAGAAGCCTGCGAAGCTGGCGTGTCCCTCCAGACCACAGTGCCCTGACCTGTTTTCCTTCAGCGCCCCTGAACGTATCTGGGCGCTTCTGGGACAGAGGCCCTGGCCATGCTCTCTGCTCCTGGCACCTTTGAGTCCTACATTCCTGTCCCTGCATCTGCCATGTGACCTTGGGCAAGATGCTCTTCCTCCCTGGAGCCTCAGGCTTCTCCTCTGTAAAATGGGGCTGCTTCTGACATGGCTCACAGTGTTGCCAGGAAGCTCCAATAAGGCTGTGTTCCTGCAGTGCTTGGTACCTGCCTGCTCTGTGGGGCATAAGCCCGTTGGCGTTAGCTGAGACACTGCAAACCAAAGGCACCTGCATCCTGTGGCTTCAGCTCCCTCCCCTGCCCCCAACCCCAGTGCCAAGTGGGGCCCTGCCCTTGCAAACCCCAGGGAAGGACGGGAGAGAAACAGCAGGGAGTGTTTTCACTGACTGGAAAGCAGAACTTCTCAGATGCACGTCTTCTTTCTTGGAAGGAGGAAGCCGCCTCTGCCGCGGCCTCCGCAGGTCCGGGAACCCCCGTGTCCCGCGCTGGCCTGAGTCCCGGCTCTGGAGGAGCTGATAAGGATTCTCGGACTTTGGGACTCAAAGCTGTGGCAACTTATGAGCAGGGAAACTCCTGGCTTAGTCCTGGCTGGGGCCACAGCACACACCCGAGGGGGCCAGGCAGGTGGCTTTGGACCTAGGTTCAGTAGGAAAATGCCCCGCCCTTTCTCTTCCCTCTGAGACTTCCGCCTCCTGACCTTGCTCCAGGGTGAGTCTGTGTCACCTCCTCACCCCAGAACTGCACGGCTGGCCTGGCAGGTGCTGTCGAAACCCACTTGTCCAGGCCTCATCTATAGATCCGGCACTGAGGCCAGAGAGAAGTGACTTGCCCAAGATCACACAGCCCAGCCCGGCCCGGCCTCTGGGCTGCCGAGGTCGCCTCATTCCTCCTTGTCTTATCACTGCACTTGTGGGTCCAAGATAAAGAGGGTTAATGACAGGATGGATTCTTAGGTCACTTCTTCCAGTTACAACAGTGGCATTTCCTTGCAGTGTGTCAATGGCTGCCTACAGCTGCTTCCCCAGGGACTATGCCTTGCCCCAGGGCGATGGGTCTCACCCAGCGCTGGGACCGGCTCGGCCAGGAGCGGGCGTCTGGGCGAGCATGCGTGGGCAGGTCCACGAGGCACATCAGGTCCTTGTCCGGGGACGGCCCCCTGAACGCCAGGAATGCGGGGATTCATTCGGGCCTTCCTTCCACAAGCATTCATTGAGCACCTGCTCTGTCCCTGGCACCAGGTGATGCTCCAAGTTTACATACATTTTTCACACTGAGTCCTGAAAAGTGGAGAGTCCCTGAAAACTGCAAATGTCAAAATGGACTTTCTCATAAAGAATTTTTTTTTTTTTTGAGACAGTCTCGCTCTGTCTCCCTGAGTAGAGTGCAGGGGCGTCATCCTAGCTCACAGCAACCTCAAACTCCTGGGTTCAAGCGATCCTCCTGCCTCAGCCTCCCGAGTAGCTGGGACTACAGGCATGCGCCACAACGGTCAGCTCATTTTTTAATTTTTGTAGAGCTGGGGTCTCACTCTTGCTCAGGCTGGTCTCGAACTCCTGAGCTCAAGAAATCCTCCCACCTCGGCCTCCCAGAGTGCTGGGATTACAGGCGTGAGCCACCGCCCACGGCCAAGAATTTTATTTTATCTCTGAGACAGGATCTCCTGTTGCGGAGACTGGAGTGAATCGGCATCATCGTAGCTTCCTGGCTTCTTCCTCTGGGCCTTCCCCACGACAGGAATCCACATTTCTGCTCAATGTCCTCATCAGAGTTTCATAGAGACGCGCAGAAAACACATCCCTCACGGGGCAAGGCCCTGTGCCTCCTAGTGCGCAGCAGCTGCTGGCACACGGGCAGGGCGCTGGCCCCGAGCCCTGACCAATGCTGGTGCTGGGCCCTGCGGGCCAGGTCGCTCCGCGGGGCCCCAAAATTTGGGTGAGGAGTTTAAAGTGGGTTGTTCTGAAATTAGAATATGCATATTTGTTCTGAAATCAGAATACAAACATCAGAAATATTTAAGAAATATTTTAATCATGATCTTAATTTTTAAAATTCTGAAATCCGTGTGAGTTAGTTGCTCATTCGTAAGGGCTGGTGGCGGCGGCGGTGAGCGCACAAGGGAACAGGCCGGGCCTTGGGAAGCCCGCACGTGAGAGGGGGCGCACAGCCACGGCAGCCGGCAGCCGGCAGCCGTTGCGTCCGGGGAGGGGTGCAGTGGGAAGTGTGCGGGCTGGGGGCAGCGGGGACCCGTGGTGCTGGTGAGTTCCGCTTGGGAGGCACCAGGAAGAGTGTCCCTCAGGAGAGTCATACAGGCTCCCCCTCCCTTCTGGAGGGCTGAGGTGTGGGGGCGCAGTGGGGCCTGGGGCCTCTGATCCTGAGCGCGCAGGGGGAGCGCAGGGCGATGGGCTCTGCAACGCGCAGCTGTGGCGTCTCTCCGCGGAGAGGCCTGCAGTTAGAGCCATGCCCACTAGGTGGCGCAAAGCCCCCTTGTGTTGGCACTGGGGCCCGTGGGCATTGTGAGGGCTGGCAGGCCTGCCTCTCACCGGGAGGCTCTGCAGGCAAGTAGACACCCTGCCCCTGCTTGAATACCTCCAGTGACGGCGCGCTCACACCTCCGACAGCACAGTGTGAGGTGGAACTGAAGGGCACCAAGAAGCCACCTGCCCAATGGCAGTGTCACCCTTCCTCTCCCAACCTGCAGAACACTGGTTTCTGAAACTCTTATCTTCCCAGTCTCTTGGTTAGGAATAACTTCTTTTTTTTTTTTTGAGACCGAATCTCACTTTGTTGCCCAGGCTAGAGTGAGTGCCGTGGCGTCAGCCTAGCTCACAGCAACCTCAAACTCCTGGGCTCAAGCAATCCTTCTGCCTCAGCCTCCCAAGTAGCTGGGACTACAGGCATGTGCCACCATGCCCAGCTAATTTTTTCTGTATATGTATTAGTTGGCCAATTGATTTCTTTCTATTTTTAGTAGAGACGGGGTCTCGCTCTTGCTCAGGCTGGTTTCGAACTCCTGACCTTGAGCAATCCTCCTGCCTGGGCCTCCCAGAGTGCTAGGATTACAGGCGTGAGCCACCGCGCCCGGCCAGGAATAACTTCTTACTGCCTTTTCTTACGATCTCTTTCTCCTTGGGTAGTTTACCAAACTTCTGGGTGAGAGAGACCTCTTACAGGGCTGGGACATATGCCAGGGCCATGGCAAAGCCGCCCTACCCTCACACTACACGTGTAGCCCTGGTTGGAAACTGAGGGGACTGAGCCTTCCCCAATTTCCTAGTGGCTCTAGTGAAGGCAACCCTTTGGGCCTCAGTTTCCCCTTCTGTAAAATGAAAGACAGCATCATCTGTCCTGCTTGCCACTGAAGTTGTTGAGGAATTTCAAGTGAAATAGTATATTCACTTATTTAACAAATAATTCTTGAGCATCTACCATATACTGGGCACTGCTCTAGAAACTGGGGAGTATAGTGGTGACCAAGCAGGTGGGTAAACATGCTGTAACATGGAACAGGGACGAACTTTGAAAACATTTTGCTGAGTGTAAGAATCCAGACACAAAACACAAAAGGCCACATTTTGTTTGATTCCATTTCTACAAAATGTCCAGAATAGACAAATCCATCCATCCAGACACCAGATTAATAGTTGCCTGGGGGTGGGGAGGAGGGAACGGGGAGTGACTGCTAATGGGTATGAAAATGTTTCAGGGCGATGAAAATGTGGAAGTAGATAGTGGGCATGGATGCACAACTCTGTGAGTAGACTAAAAAACATTGAATTGTACACTTTTAAAGAATGAACTTTATGGCATGTGAATTAGTCTCAATAAAGCTCTTATTTTTTAAAAAAACAAAACAAAGCAAACAGAGCCTCTGTCTGGAGTGGCAGCTTCCCCAGAGAGGCCAGCAGGTCAGGGCACTTCCCTAGACCTGGAAGAATGGGATGTAGCATAAGGACCAAGAACCCAGGCTTTGAATCTTGATGGTTGTGGGTTCGAATCCTGCTTCCACCTCTTATGAGCTGTGGAATGTTGGAAAATTGACTCAATCTCTCTGAGCCTTTCGTCTGTAAAATGAGAATAATTCCTACTTTGTGGGGTTTTTATGAGGATTAACTGCTTGATAGATTGGAGTGTTCAGTAAAGGATAGGTATTTTTATTATTATTTTCTTATTACAAAGGAAAGAGGTCTTTGGAAGGCAACTTTGACCTTGAACTAAAGGTAGGAAAAACAGACCCAGCTTCACTAAGTAGACAGATAGATTTTAGGTTCTAGCTTGGGCCAGAGGGATTGGGAGGACCCTCTCCAGGCATGCCAGGTGGTCCGTGTGGTCCAGGGAGGTGACTGGTGGCAGGTAGAGTACAGACACTCGGACTCCCACTCGTGTTGCCAGGTCTGTGGATTAGAACTAGACACTTTGCCATTCGGGTTTCCTGCCAGGAAATGGGGTAAGTTATCTTCACACTTTGTTGCCACAGCTTTTCTCCCTTACTCCCGGGAATCCTGCAGCTGCCGACTGGGGCCGGCATCTCAGCGGGCCGAAGGTTTTCTTCTCATCAGTACTTGACTCTTGCGGATTAACAGATGGTTTTTATTTCATTCTTTGTGTACATCTCAAACTGTCTACAGACACGAGGCACCTGATTAAAGTGCTGCTAGGGAAACCATAACAAGCGTGATTCATGTCTGTGTCGACCTTTGTCTAGGCTTTTTCCCTCCTATCTCGCACGGCTCGGTCAAGATAAAGAGTGTTTGTGGGCTGGACCAGCCAGGCTTCAGTTGGAGGAAACGAAACCACGCCAGCTATTTTTAGCAGAAAAGGAATGAGACGCACAAAGTCACTGGAAGGGTCTGAGGACTGAGTTCCAGGTGGGGCTCCAGGGAAGAGCCAGGCCACCCCGCGGCTGGGTGGCAGACAGCAGGGAGCCCCGCGGCGCCAGGGGGAGAGCCGCGTGCTGGAACACTGCCGCCAGGACGCGGCTTCTCCTTGGCCGTCCTTGTTCCAGCCTGGGCTGGACCCACAGGAGAATGCCCGTCTCCTTCCTCCCCCAAACGCGGCCGGGCAGATGGCTGTCAGATCCGAGTCCCCCCTGAAACTCTAGCTCTGAGAGTGTGGGAAATGTGCTTCTCGCCTTTCCCGCCTCGAGGGAGAGGAAGGGGCCCTCGAAGGAGCTTGGGCTGGACGCGGATGAGCCAGTGCCCAGGGCTGGCCTCCTCACATTGAGATTTTAGCTCACTTTGGCCCAGTACTTACTTGAGGTAACTGACAGTCCTTTTGTTTGTGCCTGCACAAAAATCATATTCGCGGTGTGAGATGGCTTTTTCCTGTGTGGGGGGCCTCACAATTGAGCCCTGAAGCCCCATCTGTGCAGGCCTGAGCTGGGAGAGCTGGAGAAGTGGCTTCCTGTTGGCCCAGGTGCGCGGCCTCTGCTGCTCTCCCAGCGGCCTCCTCTGCTGCGGGAGGTGCGGACCTGTGTGTGCGGGAGGCAAGAGCTCCCAGGACTCTCCTGGGGGTATTGAGCACTTCCAGAGGAAACAATAGAACTCGCAACTGGAATCTTTTCAATGAAGAATCAGCTGCGCAAGAACAGACTCAGAGGCCAAGAAGCATCCGAGAAGATGTTTAACTTCACTAATACATAAAGGCAAATTAAAACATGAGCGGCTCACCCAGGGGACAACACTCAGGCCCAGCAGTTGCCCACAGGAGGCGAGAGTGGGAAGGAGCAGTCACGCTCGTTGCGGTTGCCGTAGCTGCAAACTTTGGAAGGAAATTTGTCAGGGCTACCAAAATTTTAAATGTGTCTCCCTTGTGACCTGGACATTCTATTTCTTTTCTTTTCTTTTTTTGAGACAGAGTCTCACCCTGTTGCCTGGGCTAGAGTGCCGTGGCGTCAGCCTAGCTTACAGCAACCTCAAACTCCTGGGCTCAAGCAATCCTCCTGCCTCAGCCTCCTGAGTAGCTGGGACTACAGGCATGCGCCACCATGCCCGGCTAATGTTTTCTATATATATATTAGTTGGCCAATTAATTTCTTTCTATTTATAGTAGAGACGGGGCTCTTGCTCATGCTGGTCTCGAACTCCTGAGCTCAAGTGATCCTCCTGCCTTGGCCTCCCAGAGTGCTAGGACTACAGGCGTGAGCCACCATGCCTGACCTCAGACTCTATTTCTGAGAATACATCTCTCAGAATGCTCTCACATGCACACAACAACTTATTTATAGGGCTGTTCTTTGAAGCACTGGTTATGGTTACAGAATGTTGGGGAAAACCAAATGTCTAGCAATGGAGTTTGGATAAATGAACACCCTGGAATATTCCGCAGCTAGTGTGAGGAGAAGATCTGTGAGGACTGACAGGGAGGGGACAGGGGAGGGTCCTGCAGG